CGAATTGCATTGCATTGGGTAATGGAATGTCTCGTTTTGTTTTGGCATATTTTCCGATACCCACGACATATTGTATTATAGACGATCCATTCCGGGACTTATGTATAAATATACGGACATGTACTATACCGCTTATCCTGCTCAACGTTCTCCATTCAGCATTTTCTCGCATTTCCCAAACTTGATCGTGCCTCATTGCCTGGACCCTGTTGCATTCCTCTTTGAATGGAATGATTCAACCGGGAAACAATGCAGTGACGCGCTGCCTCAGAACAGGGCTGACTCCGTCTCCAGCCTTCACCATGCTGGCAGATGGCAGTCCCAAGTCTTGCATAGCCAAGACTTGGAAAGCGCGACATCAACGATGTGCACCTCCCGTCAGGTCTGTTCTCCTTATCTATTTGCTGCGTTGCCTCTCTTCTCATGCCAACTACCGTAAACCATCTCCAAAGATGTGTTCTCGGGGTTCGTCATGAGAGAGAGCTGATGTCAGTCGCTAGTTTTAGGTTGCAGCCTCTGGATAAGGAGAACTGCCTTGACATGAGAGCGGTGCACCGTCTCCGTTTTTTCGCAGACCTGCCCCGAATCCTTCCTATGGAAGGAGTCCCATGAGCCTATGGGGGGCGGACTAGGGACGTGAGAACATTGTAATGATCGATTTAAATAAACAGAATGGCACTCTAGGTAAATCCTGCTTAATAGTATTAGTACTCCGTAATATCGTTCTCAATGTTGGCGTGTAGATCGAAAGACTGCAGAACGTGCGCAGGTACTGTGGACCTATGTTCCCGCCATTGATGTAAGAACAGTAGATGCAAAAGGAGAGAGCAAGGAGGGCGGGAAGGATGTGTGAGAGTAGAAAGAAGAGGAATCCGAAGCCCAGCGTAGCAAAAAAGGTCAAGTTCACCGCGCAAGATACCGAAGAAGCGAACAGGAAAGGATCAAACGTGTGATGGGGCTGGAAACCAGCGGGGGATATAGGGACTGCGAGGTTGTTTTCTTCGTATATCAATTACATAACCACCGAAAGTCTAATATTACCAATTTCGGCAGGCAGAACCCTTGGAAGCCATAGTAGTTTCCTCACATCTACAAACAAACCTTATTTCCTCGACTGTCCAAGGAAGTTGCTTTCTCTTAGGTCCTGCCTCTCACCATCTTTTCCAGTGAAGGAGAGTAACGTGAGAGATACGATAATATCCCACGTTTACCTTCTCTCTCATCCATTATGGCAAGCTCAGCAGGACTACGAAGACAGAATTCAGCTCGCAACAAATCAAAACCGTAGGTCCAGGCACGGTTACTCCTTTTAGCTGAGCACCTGATGACCACAAATCTCCTTCATGCCACTGCCTTACACAAGCCCATGGACCTACACCATCTGACACCTTCAGTCGAAGCGGTATTAGAGGTGTTTACTTGTTTCCCTCTCATGAGGGAACTTACGCAGGACCACTCACCAGCCCCGGGTAGGCCCTTTTTCGATGCTGCTCGGTGGTTCGCTATACTGATCGTCCGTACTTGCGCGGACTGACCACTGATCCTCCAGCATTTAATTGCTTTTCAGCCTCTTGGGAAGGTTGATAAAGACAGCTTCGATGCAATGCTCAAGAGAAGGAGCAAGATTTCATTCACTGTGAATCCAAAAGAAGTCGTTGCTAAGAAAGAGGAGTTATCACCAACATGTGGCTTCTGGTTGCCACATGGTACCACAATCCTGGAATTTCCCTGCGAAGACCTCAGGGGCCGGTATCACTCATTGAAGGTAGTTCACAGTCGTTTGACCGGGACGGAATGGCTCGAGGAGGAAGACGATATCTGCTCCTCGTTGAGGAAGCTGGCCATGATGGAAAGTACACTTTTGTAGCTTTTACTTCTATTTCCTTTTTAGTCTATAGAGATTTATAATATATTAATATTAACAGCAGTATCTACTAGGATAAATCCCTGCATCTCTTGCTGTCATGCTTAATAAACTTCTATGGGTCTGCTCGACTTATAATAACCCACGCTATTAATTTGAACCTGCTGCATGGAAACAGCAGGGCCTTCTGAGAAATGATTTCAATGATAAGTTCCTTCACAATATGCCTCCTAAAAGTTGTCGTACTGCATTGGTTTGTTTCTCTAGCATATTTTTTCAAGATCGACAAAGCACTCACTCACGAAGAGTCTTGAGTATCATGAGACTCTAAGCTCCTTTTTGTCCACCGTCTTGCCTGGCATTGGTAGTATATGTTGCTGTGAGGCAGGGTTAACCATGTTATTATTCATCTCGCTACTGTGGCCCCAGGAAATTGTCCTTAATATTTGGTTCTGCCAACCATTTTCATTCGTGACTTGGAGCAGCTTCAATTTATTTGCACTGTGTCATCTACACAGACAAGGCATTGAGTAAAGTGAGATGTCTGAACTATTGTTTGAGTCAGGAGTCTTTGGGGATAACATTCTCTGGTTCTGTTCGGCAATTTCTGGCGCGAATATAAATCCTTAAACGATTACATTTGACACATATGAAGACCAAGATTTTAGTCGCGATATCCCTTACCGCGACAGGTAAAGCAGGCGATAAATGTCGAACCAGTTTTACCAGATCCGCCGCAGCCTCTGCAAGTAACCATGTTGCCATCATCATCTGCTTGCTCGCCATGTCCGCCGCATGAACTGCAATCGTTATCGACGTATTCGCCTCCACTGCCGCCACAGCTGGTACAATGCTTGTCCGTGGATTGGCGCAAGTAGTTGCGGGGTGTAAAGTCGCCAGAGGATCTCATGGCCAAGTAATGAGTGATTCCTTTGAAGGTAAGTATCAGAGAGTTTTTGAGTCATGAAGAATCAATGAAAACAAAACGTACTCGTTTATCAAATGCCTGTTGGTTCCAAATGTTCGCACAGAATAGCTTATGCGTCGCTGCTGATCTAATAAGAGACTAGGAAGTTCAAGAGCCTATTTCAAAATCAGGAGGTCGTAATACATATATATGTCGAACCAAAAATCCCTCAACTATTCGAATACGAAATCTGCTGCATGTCAGACTTTAGCGTGGGGAGCAGTGGGCCACCCGCACGCAGGTCAATGCCTTGGACATACTACGTACTCCGTAGGCGTGGCTTGAGCCTTGGTGGTCTTAGCATTGCGGTTGGGCCCCGGATTTGGGTCCTTGTCCAGAGGGGGGAAATGCTTGATTCTTTCTATCTGAGTATCTATCTAAACTGCCTGGGGTGGTGATGCTAAGCGAGCCGATGCCTGATGCCGGGAGCCTCAGGCTCCAAACATGATCTCTTCGAGAGTCAATAGTCTGCTATCTGCAGTAATTCGAGCCAGACAATCAAGTAGCTTTTACTTCTATTTTTCTTTAGTCTACAAAGCTTTAAAATATGACATATTAACAGGAGTGTCTATATTTAGCATATACAGAGTAGGTAGTGATCTGATGATGATCGGAGTACGGAGTAGATTGTACTCCCGTCCGTAGGGCTTCGAGGCAGATAGTTTCACGAGCTGCCATTGGTCGTCTCCTGTTTCAGTGGGCTCCCGCGGGGCCGCCAAGAAATCTGATAAGCTTACCCCGTGCGCTCGTGTGACGTCGCACGTGCCGGAGCTCTCATCCCCCGTACAGTACAACGTTCAATTGCAACTCACATTGTCTGTCAGGATTGTCTCCCAAGAGATGACAGATTGGTCCTCATTCACTATGTAGCACGCGATCATTTCAGGCCCCGATTCGGAATCACAGCAGGCACAAGAACCCCAAGATGGCAGATGCTCACCTGGTGGGACCCAAGCCTACAAAGGCATGCGGTGAGTGTCGAGCAATTCGAATGTCTTGCACCGAGTTCTGGACTGATGGATTCGCAATTCCTAGTCAATTGCAGGAGGCAGAAGGTAGGAAAGGCGCAAGTGCCGTTGAAGGACCGAGACTCTCGCTGACGCAGTCCCCGCAAGATGAAATGCCAAGTCGACGACGTTCCGCCATGCCGACGATGTAGGGTTGTCAAGGCTGAATGTATTTTCAGACCTAGGGCCAACGTACGCATTTCTTCGATACCCCATGCATTACTGTGGACCCTGCTGATTCCTCGTAGGCTGCGGCCGTCCACAGAGCGCCAGAATCCCGGTCCAATGCGATCACTCCCACGGTGTACAGTTTCTCGTCATCTCCTGCGAACACTCAGTCGATCCTCGCTCGTCTGGACAAAATTGAGACTATTCTTGGTATTAAGAAAGGCCCGGATGCGGCGGCATCCCTCGAGCCTGAAGAGGAGTTGGACACTGAGCCTGAAGGGGAGGACTTTTCATTCCATGGCGTGTGGAGGGCCCTGTCCCACCTGAAATCCATCACTAGACCGCCGCAAGATGCGAAGGTCTGGTCGAGAAGCATGGTCAAGCAACTATGGCGCTCGTATGTTCACGGACGACGCTGTTTTGGTCTGTCTTGCACGCTAATCAGTTCAGATTCCACTCGAATTTGCCGCTGCTGCATTTTCTGGCAGACCGCAAAGCATTCTCCAGTCCGACGCCGTTGCTTCTTGCTTCTATACTATATATTTCCGCATTACACCACAATTCTGCAGAGACGGCGTCAGTTGCTCCCGGCTACTTTGCGGCTACCTGCAGTGCTATCGCCGAACTGGTTATGCCGCCTCCGGCCGCGGCGTCGGCCGGTAGTCCTGGGGAACAGTCGAGCTCGGCGCAGTCAAGCTCACAGGTGGAAGATCAAGTGTTTCACAACATCCTTGGTCTAATAATGGCTAGTCTGAGCTCGGAAGCTTTCATTGAGACGACGGGCACGTGGATATCCATTGGCTACCGACTGCTCTTGGATCACTGCCCACATCGGGTTCAGGACACGAGCCAGGACTGGCGTGGGTTGTTCTCCGGTCTCCAGGTATGCTCTATCGTCCTGTCGCTTGATTCAAAACTGACTCTCCTAGATAATTGACGTGGAGCATGCCTCCATCCACATGTGCTATCCCTTACTTCCCAAACAGCCGCCTCCACTACCTCTGCAGAAGCTGGACCGCCATCAAGATAACGCTTACCGGGGCCTCGCTCAAATGATGCATAGTGGTCTGAGTCACTTTGTCGGACGAGGCTTACCATCAGTCTGGTCGTTTGTGAGCGGGAAGGATTCGAATAGTCCTCCCAGCACCGATTCTCCATTCACAGAGCATGATTTTCAAGTGATTCGTCATTGGGCCAAGCAGCTGGACGAGTGGCTGGTTCGTTATAACGGCGCATCTCGTAAGTTCGCCGTCCGCTGATTTTGCGCAGCAACTGATTTGGTGGCAGAACCGTCGGAAACCGATCGTCACGGGATATTGATCCTCCTGCAATACCACCTGCATAAGCTATTCGTTCTGTCTATCTATCATCCGGCTCGGGGATACGACCTGGGGGCCCACAACATTACTTCTGCTGAGAGGCACGAATTGCTGATCTCGGCACGTGCGGTTCTACGATTGCGAGATAATGATACAGGGATATGGTCTAATTGGGATCTTGTCGTATGTTCTTGTATGGAATTAAAGAAGAAAGATTCAGGAGCTGATGTTGTAGATGGTGACTTTGGCAGCGTTGTTGGTTATACGTGGAGTAGAGGATGGGATGGCTCACGAAGAAGGTAGGAGTCTGCTGCGATAGTGTTTTGAGATGCTGCTAACAGCGATACTAGATCTGAACTTGGTTCAGAGTCATTTGAGCAGCCTACAGCGCTGCCAGCGTCCGCCTCCCAGTCTTCAACATGTGCTGGCGGATCGCCTTGAAAGGGCGTTGCAGGGCATGCGCACGCCTCCGGCGACTGGGCCAGAACTGATGATGCCAGACACCAATATCGATTATTCATGGGCCATATTTGACCAGAATAATATGCCTCTCGCAAATCCATCGTGGCTGTTGCAGGACCAGATGCATGCCACGCCTAAACCAACCGTTTCCATCGCACAGGCGTCTGCAACACGAGATGGGATGTCGGAGCAGTACCACTCTGGATTAGTGGCTGGTGAGCAGACTCTCCACGCCAGACAATGGATTGGCCAAGAGCAGTCAAATGCTTGGCCATCGACACTTAATCGACTTTTCGGACATGACGACTCGATGCAAGAGAATTCTGGCTTGGGAAGCTGATGCCACTGTATGCTTCAACGCTGTCATTTCTATATCTGCGGAGTATTTCAACTACGTATGATATATCCGTATCTATAGCGAGCGACTCACGAACGGTCTAGTTTAATCCAGCACTGGTAGCTGTCTACTCGCGTCTCACGGCAAACCTCAACAACCGCGAGTCATCGTCGTGCCATCTCCATTCGCGCTCCGATGACCTTTCCAACAGGGTTGCGTCGACCTTCCATTTGGTTCCCGTTTCCTGACCGACCTGCTCCCAGAGTTTGGTCCACGTGGAGGCATCGTGTCTGTATCTCAGACCGTCTCCTGACCGGCGTGGATAATGTCCGGGAACGACATTGCCGACCTGACGACCGAGGATCAACGAGCCAGGGCGGGGTCGCAGCAAGGTGACGACGCGTCTGGCGATCTGGGTCTGCTGCTCCAAGTCGAAGAGGTGGAAGAAGGCGCCGGTATAGATGATGTCGACCTTGCCGGAGAGCTGCTTGACGAGGTCGGAGTCGGGGTCGAAGATGTCAGCGGCGATGAAATGGGCCTTGAATTTGTCTTTGTCGAGGAAGAGGTCGTAGCCGAGTGAGATGAAGTCGAGACGGAGATCGGAGCCGTAGAGGTTTTCCGAGGGGGCTCCATCGAAGGCCTGCAAAGTTAGTACTGTACATAATACACATATGTCTGTACATAGAGAAGAGAAGAAAGGAGTATCATACAAGCTGCCTCAACTCCTGACCAAAACAACATCCCAGATCGAGAAACGTCTCTCCATTCTTGACCCGCTGGAGGACTTCCTGATAGTAGGGCGTGGAGGAGACGCTCAGGTTAAGGAATCGAAAAGTTCCAAGACAGGGGTAGGGGAACTGTCACGTTAATATATCAGACAATCTATATATGTTAGGTAGGATAGGGAAAAGAAAATACTATAGCAAAAGCGCGATCTCGCTGTCATCATCAATCAATCAATTAGTCCAAACTGTCCACCCAGAACACAACATATATATATTGTTTGGTTTCTACTCACCACATCCTGCACATGCCCCACCACCTTCTCCCGCTCAATCCCACTGTACTCCTCGAGCAGACGGCGCGCCTCGTCGGAAATATCCTCCAGGGCCAGTTGCGCCTGGTACCAGGGGAGTTGTTTTCTGTCGAAGTTTTTGTCGTTGATGGCGTTGCGGAGGTCGGTTTCTGATTCGGCCATTCTTCCTTTTTTTATTTCTTTCTGGAGGGAGGGAATTGAATATGGGTTGGGTAGGTAGGGTAGGAATGTGTGTGGGTTGTGTATGTTGTTCTTGATTGATGACGTTGATGTATATATACTCTAGGAACAGATACGGAGTACAGATTGATGTGATCGGGGAGTTAGGCGATTATATATTGCTGTCACATATCAATCCTAATACTGTAATCTGCCGGTAGTAAGGTACTCTCCGCAAATGGAAATGTACTACCTAGGTAGGTAATAGACAGGCAGGCCCAATCAATTATTATTATTTGATCGATGATGATTCGATCAGCGATAATAATAATAAACTCCGGAGAATTACCTATGGTATGTACCCATATCTAGTGGACCCCTCCTCCGCCCGCTCCCGGCCCGGTACCGGAGGACACCATCATAATGGCCCTCGATCGCGTCAGTTGTGTTGTACGGAGTACAGTACGGAAATCCGGCACTGGCAGTCAGTTACTCAATCAGTGACTCATTTTGATTAATTCATTGATCGATGAAAATATATGACGCGGCCAGTAGTATTAATTGCCCCGCTCACGTCTTTTTGTTTTTTGATCTCGGAGAATCGGCATGAGGGACTGTATCACATCACATCGTGGGGGTGGGTATATGTAGTACGGAGCACATCTATTGATGTATGTAGACTGATTTTTACGGAGGAAAAGATGTCAAATTCATACATGATGGCTATCGGCCTATGTATGTACATACAGTACAGTACCTAGGTCTAGGTAGGCAGATACAGTATGTCACTATTGTGGTTTGGTTTGGTCTGGTCTGGTCTAGAACTTTCATATCTGGTCCATGCATATACATAATGTTTTTTTGTGTGTGAATCATCGGGGGATATATATCTATCTTGCATGTATGTACTCTGTAAAGAGGAGAGTATGCAATACAATGCAATGCATGACACACAATGGATGATTGGTCAGACAGACAGACAGACAGACACACCTTGCAAGCAGTGTGGTTTTAAATAACAAAAAAAAAAGAAAATATTAACGCAGATGTAGGTAGGGCTCTTATCTCACAAGTTGCTAGGCACAATCAAGTTGAATGCTGCTGGACTACTTCGTGCCAATATTAATATGGTAGAGCATCAGGGCAGGGACATATCAACAGTAGAGGAGGATAAGGGCGAGGCGTAGTAGAAGATAGAGTAGGCAGGAGCATACATTTCATTTTTTTTTTCGCATGAATGTACTCGAGAAGGTTCATACATATCTGTACTTTCTCTTTTTTTCTGCGCCTTTAAGTGTATCTGTTCATCAATTGTTCATTCCTTGTGTATCATGTATGTTCATGCTGTCATATCGAAGGTGTCGTATCTCGAGATCAACGATCTTTCTTATGATCTGACCTATTCTTGATAGCCGTGTCCACTGCAAGTACAGTTGGACGACTCATATAAGTATGATATATTATGATATATATCTACCACGGCAACTGCAGCGGCGTGGGAAGATCTTTTCCCAGCACAGCTTCTGCAGTACCAATGTCCCTGTTAAAAGAAAGCAATTAGCATCAGATCTGTCCCACATCTACTGGTACAGTACATACCTCGGTCCTCTCGGCGCCCAGTACTGGCCTGTCTTGCTGAGATCGAAGCCCTCGATGAAAGATGCCAGCGATTCAGCCGCTTCATCCGGCGATATAGCTAATATTAATATCGAATTAGCAGGTATTCTTTTCAATCCTCTAAGGTTAGTACTCACCACCCCCCACATCCCAATACTTATCATAACCCACCCCCCTCGTCATGTCCGTCCGCATAAACCCCGGATGGACCAGCCCGACGGCAATGCCCCGATCCTTCAGATCCAGACTGAGCAGCTTGCCCACCATGTTCAGCGCTGCCTTGCTCGCGTGATGCCCGTAGTTGCCGCCCCCCTCGGTCTCGTGCCGCAGCGTGATGCTGCCGCTCTCACTGCTGACCAGGATTACCTTGCTGCCTGCGCCCAGCAGCCCGGCCTTGACGAGGTGGTGCACGACAAACACGGGACCGATCGCTGACGTCGTGTACATCTTCACCTGCTTGTCCCAGTCTGGGTTGTCGAAGGTCTCGAAGCCAAAGTATCCGGCTGAGATGATTGCGGCGGAGATGGAGAGCTTGTTGGGCGAAGACAGCTGCGAAGTCAGTTTCTCGCCTACGTCTGGCTGCGAGACGTCAATGTTCACCAGCCATTTTGTGTTCCTGCTGCTGCTGTCGGACGACGACGATGGCGGAGAGCTGCCTCTCGTCGTGGCGTAGACGGTGGTCGACGGTTTGGATGCGTATAGTTTCGTGAGCGATGCTCCCAGGCCGCGGGTCGCGCCGACGATGAGGACGTTATTTGTATTGTTGGTCATTTCTGTGCTGTCGATTGGAACTAAATAGCAGAGATATTATATTTCTTCTTGTATAAGTAAAATAAATAAATAAATCAGTTTCTAAAAGAATGCAAGAGAGAAACTCATGGTCTGGTTGAACGCAACTAATAATCTCGATAGGAATGACGCAAGAGCACGAATGCGCATCCATTGGCCAATCAGATCATGCGCTTTATTGTACACGCAGTATGATTAAATATAGAGCCTCAAGACAAGCGTGGTGTGATATATTTACTGTAATATATATTATTGTGGTATTGCTATGCTACTAATGAATTGGCTCGTGGAAGGAGATGGGAAAGTAACACTCCAAGGAAGAGGTAAAAATAAAAATAAAAAAAATTAAATTAAATTAAATAGAATAAAATCAACACAATGAAACAAATAGAACGTTTCATGATCATCAATGCTGTCATTATTTACATGCTTTCCCGTATCGTAATGTACAAGCGTGTAGGTGAAGAAAGAACAATTGCCTTTCTCATCACCCGAGTTGACGGTATACTCGAGTATTATACCTCGTCCACCTAGGTGACCCGTATTGAGGCAGTTTCGTGCCTGTCTCCGTCCTGCGGGAACCACTCGTCATGGCCAGACGTCCTGCTGAAGTGGGATCTTTCCAGTCACATGGCGGGTGTGCGACAATGTTGACATTCAGAGCATGTCACATGCGCAGACAGATGTCTCAGTCGTAGCAATTGCCGCGGAGGTCAGAAAGAACAATCGTACAGGATTATATTTTCATCCCTCGTCCGCGCGCTCTGAGTCTGACCTGGCCGTGTCGACCTGCGACGGAGGCGTCGCATACTCATCGGGAGTGGATCTTACCGAAGTCGGCGTCAATGGGAGAGGAGGAAAGGGCTCTGTTGGTCGTCCATCGCTTGACACGTCTCCGGCTGATGAAGGGCGTGCTTGATCGGACGTGCACGTGCCGTTCTGAGACTGCTAGCAGGTCAGCCACAAATTCAGTCAGTCTATCAGAAAATCTGCATCCTACCTGATCGTCCCGTGCCAGTCCCTGACTCACAGCCAGCTGGTGAGCCGCCTGTCGCTTCCTGGCGATCTCCGACTCTTCTTCCAGTCTTGCCGCCTCCTCCTCCTTGGCTAGTTCGTCCATCGACGGCGTCCCGGCGTCATGTATAACTTCGATATCCGACGTTCGTGGTGATCTTCGGTCCTTCCCTCGACCACTCCTCGAATCGCGAGATGTGGTGCCGCTCAGCCTTCCGTCGTCAGACGTGAAGCCAGTGCCACGGCGTGCGAGGGCCATGGCAAATTCATCATCCAACGGCACCGCATCTTCTTCCTCGTCACTGGGGATCAAGTCTCCCCGCGAACTCAGGGAATTGGATGTCTCCCGAGACGACTGTGTTCCACTGCGATCTCGTCCGTTCTTCTTCCCCCCTGAACCTTCTCCATACTCAGCGCCTCCATCGCTCTCGTCAGTCGCTTCCATCAAAGGCTGATTTTCGTAACCATCGTCATCCCTCAACCTTCCCGGCCGCTCTTGTAAGTCGGCTGCCGAAGGCCGGTATTTGATCCCTCGCGGTCCAATCCTCCATGGAAATCGCTCCAAAAACCCGATCAGCGACGACTTGGGGATCACCGTGGGGTCGTCCCTCTGATCGTGAGGCAGGGTGCTTCTTCTTTTCCCTGCTCGAGCGGCGCCATAGCTCATCTTCCGTTGCCGGCGCGGCTGCTCGGCGCCGCGGCGTGCACTACCGCTGCCTGCCAGTAACCGATCCAATTCATCGCTGCCCCATCCAAACAAGCCATCGCCGGCGTTGTCATTGTCCCAGTCATCGTAAAAGTCGAAATTGAATTCGGCACGGCTCCGTCTGCGACGTCGACGCTGCTCCTCCCGGCTGGGGAAGCAGGGCGCCGTGCACGAGCGGACGCAGTTGGCGATCGACGCAAGACAGGGTGCCAAGTACTCGTGCGAAAAAGTATAGAAGCCTTCCTGGGCGGTTTCGTTTGCAGACTCGAGATTCTGGGAGATCTGGTTGATCCTCTGGCGGATGCGAGGGTCGTTGGGGCGCATCATCTTGAGAGCGGCGGCGACCAAGCCGCCGTGAGAGCGGACGGGTGGCAGGAAACGGGACGACTAGCGAGCAAGGCCCAACGTGTGTAGCATCAATGCGAGGGTCAGGGCACAGTCCGTCCAGGCGAGCAGGCTGCTTGTAACGGTATATGCGTTGCGTAGTCGACAGAATGCCAGGATGATCGATCCCGTCGCACGAGACATGCGTGATGGCATCGAAGCCGCGGCTCGACCAATGGCCGGCGCCGGGTGGAGCTTGGTCACTCCGCACGTGAGATAAGAGGGCCTCGCCCAATCAGCGGTGGAGCCGGGCTGCCGCGAGAGATCCGGGGTAGCCATTGGATCGAGGGCATCCATGGCTCCTTCCCAGCCATCCCGATAGCATTATTATTATAATACAAAGTGAAGGCGCCCAGACAAGAAGATTCCGGGCGCTGCGTTCGAGAATGGTTTATTACGTCCGTTTCCTCAAGTCTCCCAGGCTCCAGAACCACCAAGCCGGCGTGGTGTCGGTCTCCGCTCTTATCTCCATCACCACCGACCTGGGAGACGCCTTCCTGGCGGACGATGTGCGGCTACACGCGACCTTGTCCTCCGTGGACACCAACACTGTTTTGCGGCAGGATTCCTTCCTATGGCAAGCTGGGAAAAGAGAACTCCTAGTCTCCGTCGGCCCTGTCCGTCTCGGCTCGAGACCTCCGATGGTCATTCTCGGCATTGGGTCTTCCGCGAGTGTCGATACACCACCCAGTCAGACCGACAGCCTACTCGATCCCTCGACAGTGCCCGTGGTAATATCTGGATGGAGCACCGCCTTTGGAGGCCCTCAGGCTCTTCCAGCAGAGAAGCTGATTGAGAGACGCCTCCGTCTCCAGAACCAATCCGAGCTCCGGGTGTGGGAAGAGACCGGAAACAATATTGCACGACACATCTGGTGAGATTGTCTCACCCACTCCCTTTGTATCCACCCTGTCTGCAGTCTTCTCGTATCCAAGTACGTTGTAATTATGAGTAACGTCTTTTCTTTCTCAGGGATGCGGCTTTGGCTGCTGTAATGTGCCTGCAGCGTGGCATCACCGACCCCGGAGCCACGGCGATGCCACGGCTGCAGGACCATCTACGAGGTCGAGGTGACCAGACGCTCCGAGTCGTGGAATTGGGCTCCGGCTGTGGCATTGTCGGCATCGCTCTGGCCGAGATGATGCCTCGATGCGCAGTTACGCTTACAGATCTACCGGAGGTGGACGACATTGTAGCACGCAACATCAAGGCCGCACATCCCGCACGTGGATCGACGATTGATTTCCGGGTTCTGGACTGGGATCAAGCGCCCGGCGAAGACGTATTCAGCCAGCCCGTCGACCTGGTTTTGGTCTCAGACTGTACCTACAACGCCGACAGCCTGCCCTCGCTGGTCCGGATGATCGATGCCCTGGTCCGGCGGTCGTCCAACGCCCTCGTGCTGGTGGCACTCAAAAGACGTCATGACAGTGAAGCCGTCTTTTTCGACCTCATGCACGATGCCGCCTTGTCGACGCTGGAACGCGACACCATCGCCCTCCCGTCTCCTTACGCAGACGGGGACGAGGACCTGCAGGAGAACACGATCGAGATCTACCTTTTCGGACGCAGCAAGTCTCGCTCCTAGAACAAAGACGGAGATTCAGCCGCCAAGGGGCGGTTACACCCGAGGCTCCAGTCTGCCCAGGAGTCGAGGCACTTCTGTGCGCCGCTTAGCTTAGTTGAAGCCTCGGAGAAATCGCTCATTGTGTCTGCCGGGCCAGGCCATTCCGGGCGGCGGATTTCTAATGCGGCTTCCTAGCGCGTGCTCCCTTGCACTTGCCGGTGCCTGACCGCCTTCTGCCTTCTGGCCCAACCCGCGGCAGTCGTGCCTGCCTGCCTCGCCAAAAGAAAAAAAAATTTAAATCAGGAAGGCACAACGCCGCCACGGCAAACAGCTTGCTGGACACAGGTCAGCATTAATCGCGCACCAGGACGATCACCGAGAACAAAGACGCAGAATCAGAATGTGAGAGTGCAGAAATTTCCACGCTTAGGCTGTTCTAAAAAATTAGCAGTCCGGGTCCAGTCGTAGGCTACCCTCGCCACAGCTATTTTTCTCCGTGCCTATAATCTTCGTCATAGAGCTCCAGCGCGCTGCGTCACTTCCCGTCTGCTGCAAAGGCCAGGCGGGCGTGATTGGGAGACGCGCCGTTTGCCGGGCGGTGCCGTAATTTTTCGTCTTCTCCCCGCAACCGCAGGCCTCAGCGCCCCTCCGCCAGCACCCTCGACCAGCGCTGCTTTTTCCAAGCCCCGTCCCTTCTCTCCCATCTCCCAACAGCGTCCATCTGGAGGCATTGAGATCCTGTGTCGTGTCTCTGGTGAGTACTGCACGTCCCTGCTGCTGTCCCTGCCCCCTTTTCGTGTGCTGCTGCCTGGCCTGGCGGATTGGCTCCTGCTGTCGCTTGCCCCGTACCCTAAGTACACGGGCCTGGCGAATTTTGCACACAACACCACCAGCACCAGCTCTTTTTAAACCTCCTGCCCAACCGCGCTGATTCTAACCCCTTGCTCTCCTCGTCTAGGTCTGCGGTCGATTTTTTCCCCCCGTCGCGAAAATTTGCGCCCTGCCTTTGGAGTCCCCAAAGGCGCCACACAATTCCGGCCCTAGCAGGCTTTGACTTTCTCTTCCGTCAAATTGTCTCCCCGCGGCGACTGCGACAGACTCTTAACAACATTCCACCCCCTTGTGCTGACGGCCAACGTGTTCTGCCCCGTTTCTGACGCGCCTTTCCCCTTTTCCCCAGCCCCGTCTTTAGAGTTCTCCCCAAACCACCAGCTGCTGCATAGGACTTCTCTGACGGTTCTTCCTCTTTCGGAGGAAGGGTCGAGGAGGCTTAGTCCAGTCAACTTCGGTTGCGAAACTTATCGTCCTCCCTAGCGCACGCTTGCGACTGTTTGCTTGGATTAATCCTCCTCGTCTCGAGTACTTCGACCCGAATCAAGTGCGATCAGCCGGCCAACCGCATCCAGCCGCATGGTTATGGCACCTTCGGTTCTCGCGTCTGACGAAGTATACGTGTCCAACAATCATTATAATAACGACCACAGTAGTAGTAAAGACTCGAAGCTCGTCAGCAACACCACTCTCAATCATGGCGTGAATGATCTGTATAAGGCCAAGTTGGCCTCCAAGGACTTGGTTTTTGAGGTCCTCAAGAAGCGCGTGGCCAGCATCAATGTCGACCGTTGCGAACCCGGGGAGGAAGATGCCTTTTACGTGGCCGACATGGGCGAGATCTACCGCCAGCATCTCCGCTGGAAGATGAACCTGGGCCGTGTCAAGCCTTTTTATGGTAGGTCTCGCCGTTCTTCGATCGAGTCTTTGGGAAGAATCCGTTGGTGACTGACCGACCTCCTTTTTTTTTTCTCTGATACAGCGGTCAAGTGCAACCCGGACCCGGAGATCCTTCGTCTCATGGCTAAGCTTGGCAACGGTTTTGACTGCGCCTCCAAAGCCGAGATCGACCTGGCCCTGCAGACGGGCGTCGATCCCAGCCGCATCATCTATGCGCAGCCGTGCAAGACCAAATCCTACATCCGCTATGCCGCCCAGAAGGGTGTCAAGCAGATGACCTTTGACAATGCCGACGAGCTGTACAAGATCAAGGCCGACTTCCCCGACGCGGAGCTGTACCTCCGCATCCTGACCGACGACTCCACTAGTCTCTGCCGCCTGAGCATGAAGTTTGGCGCCTCCCTAGATGTGGCGCGGTCGCTGCTGGAACTGGCGCGGCAGCTCGAGCTCAATGTGGTCGGCGTGAGCTTCCATGTCGGATCGGGTGCGGAGGACCCCAAGGCCTTTCTGAAGGCCGTGCAGGATGCTCGTTGGGTCTTCGACCAGGCTGCCGAGGTCGGCTACGAGCTCCACACTCTGGATGTGGGTGGTGGTTTCTGTGATGAGACGTTTGAGAAGTTTGCTGCCATCCTCAGCCAGGCCCTCGACACCTATTTTCCGGCGCAGGTTCGGATCATCGCGGAGCCGGGTCGTTACTATGTCGCGGGCGCGTTCACGCTTGCCGCCAACGTCATTGCCCGCCGCGATGTTCGCGATCCCAAGGACCCGTCGCGCGATGCGTACATGCTGTATCTGAACGATGGTGTTTATGGCAACTTTTCGAACATCATCTTCGATCACCAGCATCCGGTGGCGCAGATCCTGACCTGCGTCGAAACATGCCCGGGGTCGAGTGACAGTGACGGTTCCTCTTCGACGTCGTCTCTTTCTTCGTCCGGCATCGATTATTCCATCTGGGGCCCGACGTGCGATGGGATCGATGTTATTACTGAGCGCGTCACCCTGCCGGGTCTCGTGGATGTCGGTGACTGGCTGTATTTTGAGAACATGGGGGCCTACACCCGGTGCAGCGCGACCCGCTTCAACGGGTTCACCGACAACCACGATGTCATCTACATCTCGAGCGAGACTGGCGCTTCTGCTCTGCTCGATTATTAGCTGTTTGCGTTGTGTTGTCGATACTTTTCGAAGGCCTACTTGGATGTTCCCCCGTATAATTGATTGTTCCTGTTTCGCTTGCTTCTTGTTCAACACTCCCTTTGGATTGAAAAGAAAAAAAATATCATATAGACTTGCTTTTGCCAGATTTTGACTGTCAGCTGATTAGTCTTGGTCGCTTTCAATTGTCGTTTCGAGCAGTCATTCCTTTAGATCGCTTAATATAGACTTATATACACCTATCACTTTTGAAATACTAGACTTCTAAGAATACTCGACTTCTAAGTTTTGGAGGCAACATTCGTCATTCCTATAAGGGTATCTATGAAGAAATTGGGATGAGAGCCAACATAAGTCATTTGTTTTCCTGCCCGAATTAGAGTCTTTCGACCTTCAAATTTCCGATGCTGGCATCCGTTGCGACCTCGATAAGACCCCCCGCTTCGAGTTTCTTTTTCCATTTACCGGATTCGTACCGGGCCAGGATGAAGGTCAGGCGAGCGACTGTGTCTGGATCTACAGGTACCGTGTCGATGGATGGCGTAAAGGTCCACCGGCCAAACGCCCAATTCAGGATGTAGTCTTGAGTCTCCGAAGAAGTCGAGTTGACTGGAGACTCCTTATCACTGGCTGAGACGCCTGGGTCGGAGTTTGCGGGTGGCTGATGGGCTGTTGAGCAGCGGATGACGCCTTTGATCCGGTAGACTTCTTCCTTAGGAGCGAAGCGGAGAAGATCTTCAAAGGCCGGGAGATTGATGGATTTGGAGGATGCAGCTGAAGGTTGGTCAGTTTTGAGGGTCACGGAGAGGACCTCGACTTCGGACTGATGGCTGTGGCCGTGGTCGTGGCCGTTGACGAGGTGTTCCTGGTCGATCTGGCTCGTTTCCTTGGCGAGCAACGCGCCATCGATTCCAAGCAGCACATCCTTGTCAACCTTTCCCCTGTCCGACTTGACCCAGGGAGTATCCAGCTCCAGATCACCGAGCCGGTCCAGACAGACGTCGAACCGCTGCTCCGGCACGCCCTCCCACTTGTTGAAGATGATCAGATCGGTGTACTTGGCCTGCAGCTTGGCCGTGTAGGAGGTGTCGTCGTAGCCCTCCCAGTTCTCGACGTCGATGACGCTGATCACGCCGTCGAGGACAAAGCTGCCGCTGTGCTCGCGCGACAGCCGGTTCACCTCCATGGCCAGCGTGGCCGGGAACGCGCTGCCGCTGGTCTCGATGACGATGCGGTCGGGGCGGACCTCGTCGCGGAGCTGGAGGAGGGCATCACCCAGCTGGCCGACGAGGTTGCAGCAGATGCAGCCGTTGAGCAGCTCGCGCACGCCCGAGATGGCCTGCGTGGCCGCGAGCTGCGAGTCGACGGCGACATCGCCAAACTCGTTCTTCAGGAGCGCCAGGCGGTAGGTCGGGGGGAGCTGGGGGATCAGATTGAGGAGGATGGTCGTTTTCCCGGAGCCGAGGAAGCCGGTGACGATGGTGATGGGGATGGGGGGCATATTCACTATCCCTAGAACCAGTATCTAGATAACTGCAGGAAAAAAAATTGACCCCTCTATTATTTGTACTCTGTAGATACGCGATCTACAGCCAATTATCCATGAAAAAGAAAAATCTTTCAATCTATACTGAACAAAGAAGTAATTAATAAAAATAAAGAAGTAAAAAAAGTATAAATTCCCTCACTCAAGGAAAATAGACATGATCTGGACGTGACAATATCATTAAGTTCAGAGAACTCCCCTCACTGATGTACTACTACAGTACTACAGTACTACTTATCGGAAGATGGCCCGTGCACACATGCTCCGCGGGGTTGAATGAGAATCAGAGAAAGGAAGGAAGGAAAAAAAAAGAGCTAAGCCAACCTAAGGCTCCCAAGCACACTGCAGTCATGTGACCCCATGAACTGATTGAGCTCACATTTTGCCTGAAATCTCAGCACAGAAATATCATCAGCGGAAAATCTGGATTCCCTGCAAAATTTCATGAGAGCTGTTGTAAGGTTTCTGGATCATGTGACTTTCCTATTTCAGTATGACCTTATGAACTGAGCTTGCATTATGTCCAAAATCTGAACCTGCAATCTAACAATCAGAAAGGTCTAGGTTCACTGCAAAATTTCACAAGAGCTATTGTGAGGTTTCTGGGTCACATGACTTTCCTATTTTAGCATGACCTCTGAACTGAACTGACATTTGTGTCTGAAATCTCCACACAGAAATGTTATGAGCGGAAAATGTAGGTTCCCTGCAAATTTCACGAGAGCTGCTGTGATGTTTCTGAGTCATGTGACTTTCCTATTTTGGAAGAGTGGTCCTGAACTAAGCTTGCATTTTGTCCGAAATCTTAGCACAGGAATGTCATGAGTGGAAAATCTGGTTTCCCTGCAAAAAGTTGTAAGAGCTGTTGCGAGGTTTCTAGGTCACGTGTATTTCCTATTTTGGATGAGAGAGCTGGCCAATAATGGGTAAGTATTGCGTACCGCCCTGGGTTGGCCCTGGTGGCAGAATTAGATGATGCTATTGGTTGGGTGGAGAAGGTCAGATAGGTATGTATACATGTACTCCGTACGGAGTACTATACAATTTACTGAGGTGAGGCTAGATACCTACAAACAATGAATGAATGGACGAATTCTGACTCCGTCAAGAGTACGTGTATACATACATACATGTCCCCACGAGCAATGTTCTCTACAGCAACGACTTGAAAATCCCCCTATCCAGACTCCGATCCAGACCAAGGAAATTCACAACTTGCCCCAGATGGTCGACGCCCCAGAATCCTTCCGTCTGGCCCTCTGCGTTGGTGCATTCGAACCAGGGGAGGCCAAAAGCGCCGGATTGGAAGGCCTTGTCTGTGTTGCTGGTGAGGAGGTCTTTGATTCGGGGTTCGGAGGACTGCATTCATCAGTACTGTCAGTACGGCAGGTCAAGTTATGTATGTATGTATGTACATGGGGGTAGACGCACCGCCTTCAACACCTCCTCCGCAGTCTCTCCCCCCAGCGTCTTCTCCAGCACGGGCAGAAACCCCTCCGGCTTCCCGATGTCGGCGTTCCCATCGACCCAGAACGAGTGGTAGAGCGCGTCCAGGCACGGGATGAGGTTATTCGGCGAGAGCACTGACACGGCGCACACGGCGCGCTGCACGGCCAGGGTCTGTGGCGGAAACCCCTTGGGCATGGCGTCCGTCATGGGGACGGAGAAGGCGCGAGCCCATCTGCGGCGTTCGAGGTCGATCCATTTATCTTTGTCTGTAGTCGATTAATCAATCAATTAATTAGATCGGGCTGAATACATAGGAAGAAGCGAATAGCTTGTGAGAAGAGAAGGGAATACTTTTGATCCGCAGCGGAGGCGTATTCTCGCATGCCTTCATAAGACCCCCTAAAAAGATGGGGACGTACGTCACGTTGCATTTGGCAAAGGTGGGAGAATGCTTGTTTCGAATCAATCAGCATGGATCCAAGATTCCAAGACAAAACAAACCGATTTTTTTAGTCTCCACTCACTCTCGTCACGTAATACGCTAGATAAGCAAACGGACTGACGATATCGAGATAGAGCGTTAATCTGGGGACGGCCATGATGATTGATGATGATCTATCTATACTAGCAGATGGCGTGATGTGATGTGATGTGACCTTGAAGCCAATCAGCTGGAATTAGGTACCTATGTAGGTAGTGGATAGTTCCCTATAACTTAGGCACAGTACCTAGTAGTACTTAGTACTAAGTATGTGGATGGCTGGATGCAGCTCCCCAAAGGGCATTTCTGTCCTCGGCCAGGAGCGGGGTTTATTCAGTCATGTGACGGAGTGCAAGGTAAATGCCGAGGGAACAGTACGGAGTACTCCGTAAAGAAGCTTAGATGGTTCATGGCCTGTGGAGTACGGAGTACAGATCACAGCCAGTCTAAACCAAATATAGTATCTACTTTATACCCATGTAAACAGCCTATATATAATTAACTAGAATAATCCAAGGTGCTGAGATTCTAGGTATTAGTTCCTTCACGTATGTGATGCAAGCAGCAAATTTACTAAAAGTAAACTGTAGTAATGGTTAATCTGATATTTCAAGACAATCAAAGACGACCTATCTATCTATCTATTAGAGGGTATGAACTAGTCTATCATGTCCAACCCTTGGAACAGGGTTGCATATAAATACATGCATCTATATCTATCTATAAACGTATGTACAGTACAAGTCGCTTTGACGAGGAAATTCGTGTAACCCCTCTTCCCCTGCATTTAAAGTGCTGCTCGAGAATACAGATCAAGCAAGTCGATCGGCAAGCCGATCGCTTGCGATCTGATCAACTGCAGCTCTTGGTAATCGTCTTGAGCACACTATCCTGATCCGTAAAGGCCTTGCC